ACAGACCCTTCTTGGTGTGGTGTCCAAGCTCCTGGTATCTCGAGCAAAGAATTGAAGAGGACAACAAAAGGCAGTGGTGAAAGAGCAGTTTATTGGTAGCCAAAGTACACGCCTAAGAGATAGTAGCGGGCCCGAGCAACAGAGTGGCTCAAGGGCTTTGGCTACCAATAGCTTGGTGACTTTCTTTTCTTTTCCCTAGAATGGGCTACTCTTCTCTAGATGTGGGGCCATTTGATTGGCACCTGTGATTCACAAGAGGCTATTTCTCTATCTTCCCAGGCTGTGCATATTCCATCCCAGAATTCATTCTGTTGTGATGATACTAATGAACTTCCAGACATGTGCATGATATTATAATGATAGTATAATGAAGCTAAGGTTAGATGAAGGTCATTGTAGCCTGTACTATGCCGGTGGGAGTGACCAGTCTAATCTAGTTAGGTAGTTTGTGCTTCTAGTGTCTTCATGATGGTTAATGGTTATGGTAGATAAGGGAAGAATTGGGGCGTAGACGGGAGGTCTCTGGGTGGTCATGTTGCATAAGTCATGTGAACGTGAGGGAATGTTTGGAGACCCCATTCCTATCACTAACTGCCGGCCTCATTTTCCTCTGACAGGCCTGATTCCCACAAATCTCTGGGAAGTTGCAGGACAGGAGGCATCTTCTTCTGTATCTGCTTCCTACTGAATGTGGCCATTGTCCCTGCCTATTGGGGATTCATGGAAGTCTTGTCGTATCTGATCTTAAATGAGAGGAAGGGACCTCGAGATCTGGCTCGAAGATCGCATTTGCCTCCTTTGTCGGGGTGTCCTGGATACCTTGCGGGGATGTCATTCGTATCTCGATGGCCCCTACATGAGGAGAGATAGATTTTGGTTAATAGATTTAAAAGCTTTGGCCCAGGGCTAGACGGATAGCTCAGTTGGTAAGAGCTCGAGCTCTGAGCAGCAGGGCTGCCGGTTCGATTCCCAATGGGGGAGGGAACCAGCTTGTCAGACAGGGTTGATGGTTCTGCCCCTCTTACCTTACCATCCAGACTATAGTGTGAGGGCTGCAGCCCAACTCCTCCACCACCACCACCTTAGCTGAGGCCGCCGCGGGTGCTAAACTGCGTCTGTGGACACTATCCCTGTCCTTTCCCCCATCCCACCTCCACTACTTGTTCCAATAACCCCACCTTCAGATGTACCAATGCGTTGATCTCATGGGTGTGTTTGTGGGTTGAGCAGAGGAACCTTTGTTGAACTATAGTTGTCTGACTTGTAAATTTAAGGGGAATACAAAGGGTCTTCTCACTCTGCCATGATGCTGATGTCATTCTCTCTAACCATATTGTATTAATAAATGTGTGTAAGGAGCTCATTTATTTTGCTATTCTCATTGGTCATAGGTGTTACAATCCCCATTTTGTACCTCAAGAAAGAGGTGTAGAAAAACGTGAAGAGATGTATGCAAGGCCTAAGAACTCATTGGTAGCATCTGGAATAGATTAAGCAATGGATATAGATGTGTGCTTATGTATATCTATCTAACTTTGTTAGAATAGATTCTGCATGAGTTTCTATCGAAGCTTTATCTTTATAATTTACATGTCAATTTACGTGAAACCTCTCCTTGAGAGAGCACCACATACTGTACAAAATAAAACATGTTTATTTGTGGTTCATGATTCTCAGGGCTCATCACTTACCTGATAAACACATTATAGAAAGAATCAAAAAAAGGCCAGGTGACTTGAAAGCTGAACTTTTACCATCAAAACAGATGGAAAAACATCTGGTATATTTTATGACATCCGAGTCACACAGAAACTGACTGAATGCCACCAAATCCATCGATTTCACAATACTGGGTCCGGGACTAAATTTCAGGCAATGCCATTCAGGTAAATTGTGAAAGGTTTATACTGGGGGTGCCAAAAAATGTATACAAGTGGACACTTTGGTCAGCGTTACTCAAGAAGTTCACCATAATCAGAAGTGTCTGGACGCTGATGGTAACCACTTTGAGCACCTCTTGTAATTGCAGAAGTCAAACGTGACTTGTATTCATCTTTTGTTATCGGTATATAAAAAATGTATTGGGGAACAGTGTGTTTTTCCAGGACCCATCAGCTCCAAGTCAAGTAGTTGTGGAGGGTGCAACTCAGTCTCATTTGTGGGTATTGAACCTGCAACCTTGGTGTTATGAGCACTGTATTCTAACCACCTAAGCTAACCGGCCGCCCCTTGAATATTACAATTTTAATGGTTTTCCTTTCTTAAAATGTGTGTACATTTTTTTGGCACCCTGTGTGTATTTGTGAGGGAAAACCATTTCATAAAACAGAAACAAAGATTTATGGTCTGCCTTACAAATATTGTTACAGTGCATCCTCAAAATTCTTTGTGGGAAAAGGAGAAAATTGGGCTAATACAAATAAAAATATGCACCAAGTAACAATGAAGTAAAGTAGGCATGCCTTACTGTGGTCCTCATTTCTGCAATTACACATACAAGTGTCTCTTTGGTGCCCTTTTAACTGATGGTTGGTCAGGTAAGGCCACACGAGGGGACACAGGAGAGGCACAGGCAAAAAAAATGGTTACACTGTTTCTAGAGAGAGTCACTGCACTGCACGCCAAGAGGGGTCACATGGGTGGGAGATCCAAGGTAGTGGGGAACAAAGAGGAAGTGAGGACCTGTGGGCAAGTGCTCTTTTGGGGAGTCAGGGTGGAGTTCACAACAAAAGGCGCAAGGGGGTTTCATTGGTGTGTTTGAATGTTACTAGGTGGTCACCTAAGGTAATGGGAGTATAGGAAGGGGAACTTGTGGCACGAGCCAACCTCATCCCACTAGCACACCTGGTTACCTCAGTGAGGTGCTCACGTGCTGTTTGTGGGTTGTTGAGGCAGCAGGAAATATGAGGTTTTTAAAATTTGTGATACACCATAGTTGATATTTTTCATTTCCCTCCTCTATTATCCAATCCACAAATGGTTTGTCCTCAGCCCATGTTTGTGCTGATTATGCTTCTTTATCAGATGGGGTAACCTAAGCCTTCATTCTTGAGGGGGCTGAGCCCTTCCCGGTCCTGTCCATAAGGGGTAGCTGCCGTGTTCTGTTCGTTTTCCACTGTATACAGCAGCACTAGCAGGGGACCTCCAAAATTCTGTGGGCCTCTAAGATACTTTTCGCTGACTCCATTTATGAAGCAGAAATTCTCTCATTAGCCAAAGTAGATAAACACTTTTATCCCCCTCCTTCCAGGCAGAATGAACAATAAGATGCACTTCAAGTTTTGCCCATAGAAAGAACTACGAAAACTTGTTAAATGTGGCTTAAGTGGTTCTGGGAGGTGAATTTAAAGTTTTGAAGGCTTAGAGTAAATAAGCAAACAAACAGTGAGTAAAAAGCAATGAGCTAAGCCTCCAAGTCTATACATCATCAAAAAAGAGCTGAGTAAAGCCAGATAAATTAGATGGAAGAGAGATGAAAATATGAGAATTAAGAAAATTAATGTTTGAATTAAGAAATTAAGGGGCTGGCCGAGTGGCGTGTTGGTTAAGAATTGGCTTGGGACACCAGCTCTGAGCAGCAGGGCCCCAGTTCAGATTCCACATTAGGGCCAGTGATGCTCTGCCCTCTACAGCTAAGATGGTGAACAACAGTTCAACCTGGAGCTGGGCTGCCTTGAGTCGCCGGCGACAGCATAGGCTGCAGTGGGGCTGCAATAAGCTACCGTTGAGTGGCTGACAGCCAGCGTGAGCGGCCGCAGACCATTTGAGCTGCCAAGAGCCACCGTGAGTGTCCAATGGCCGGCGGCCGATCTGCCTCACCTGGGAAGAGTGCAATAATAAACCAACATGGGTCAGTGAAGCAACGTCCTCCACAACTAGACTGAAGAACAAAAGGACAGCAAGCTGTCTGTTCCCCTTCCCAGATTTCCCAACGCTGTTCCCCTCCCCCAATTCCCCAATAAAATCTTTAAAAAGAAATTAAGGAATATTTTTAAAAGGATTTCCCACACATGTTTGAATAGAGAAAAACTAGGCAAACTTCGGGAAAGATTGATTTTAAAAAGTTATATGAGTAGAAATGTTAGAAGTGGAAAAATGAATCATACACATGTAGCAAGAGATTTTTTAAATGATAAGATAAAATCACTGCAGTAAATTTGAAGTGATTAACTGGACATTGTGCTAGGAAAATATAACTTACTCAAGAAATTAAAAAACCTGAGCACAACTGTATACTTTAAGGAAATTGAAACAGTGCTTTAAAATCTACCCTCACCCACATGGAATACATTCGGTCTAAGCAGTTTTACCAAGCATTCAAAGAGCAGATATTCCTAATGTTCTACCAACTTTTACAGAGAATATAAGAATTGCGAAGGCTCTCACAACTCACTTAATAAAGCATCATATAATTTCATCCATAAATACTGCAGTTTGTATCTCTAAGAGAAAGGGCCTTTTTCTTTTGCAAAGTACAATGACAATACCATTTTCCCACCCAAATGGTAGCAGGTTGTGCACCTGCAGCTTTTACTTTTTTCTTGGAGTCACACTTGATACATAATTTTGTCTACTGGTTTTTTCACACCAACATGCTATAGAGCATGTTCCGAGTGACATGTTCACAGTGCTGGCTGCACAAGCCCACGCTGTCTGGAAGTGCAGTCTCTTCTTTCACTGTGACCTTGAGCAGCTACAAATGATGGTGGAGCACGCGCCTCTACAAGGGCAAAGTCATCATGTGTCCCGAATGTCTGTTAAACAGGCTGAGGACGCTTCCTAAGTGCTTGTTCCATTGCACCAACCGGTCCACACAGGAGAGGTGGCATCACGGCCTGTCCCCTGCACCTTGCTAGCAGGGCATCAGAAGTCTTCATTTGTTACAATTTGAAATCACTTTCTGTTTAGGTTGAGTCTGTATTGTTTTAGTCACTTTTAAAGGAGAAAGGCTTTCTTATTGTGCTTATATTACTGGCCATCTGGATTTCTCTTGAGCATCGAGCAGCAGTAACATAGGGTGTGTGTGTGTGAGCAACACAGAACAAAGGTTCTGGCAGGGTATGCTTCCAGCTGTCTCTCTCTACATCCCAGACCCAGGGTCGTGAACATCAAAGGGCAACAGCTAATAAGGGAGGCAGGCCGCTTCCCTTACAGGAGGAATCCAACCACTTGTTCCAGAAGCCCAACCTAAGTAAAGCCAGAACGGAAGAAAGCAGAATCCCTCACTTCCGGGCAAACGGCCTGGTTTAAAATCCTTGGTGTCAAATGCACAGTCGGCCCTACAGAAGGAAGGAGGCAGAAGGGAAGGTCCAAAAGAGCAGCAGTACCCAGCTACTGCCCAGACCAGACCTTGGTCCAGGTCCCAGGCAGGAATGTCTGCAAAGCTCCCAGCTGCTGCCACTGCTGTGTGGCTTGCCTGGGGCCACCGCCAGAGCCCGACGGAAGTTCCCGAGGAAGAGAATGTCCACCTCTCTCACTGCAGCTAGGTCTCACCTTCTTTCAATCTCATTTCAGAAGAGGGAGCTGGTCAGAGAAGGGCTCCTATGTGCCTTTGTTCACCCTCTTAGAAAGGTGAGGCCTGTCCCTACCCAGCCAGCAGCCAACACCCAGGGTGCAGGTGGCCTAAAAGTGCCATCCTACTGCAGCCTACCCCCTTCTCCCGCCCACATCCACTGAACCCAGCAGTGGTGTCCAGCTGGAGACGAGATGTTCTAAGGAACAACAGTCCCTGTACCTGCAAGGACCTGCCCCACAACAAACTCCAGCTTTCCTCACCACAGAGTACCATAGGCCTCTGCAGCCCAGCAGCCACCATCACCCTGGAGAACATGCCCTCTAACAAAGCTGCAGGTCCTAGAGACACCTGTCTGTGACTGTATCTGTCCCAATCTGTGGCCTCCAGAAGATGCCCCATACTGGGTTGAACGGTGCTCCCAAAAGATATGAACACATCCCTATCCCTAGGACTTGTGAATGGGACCTTATCTGGAAGAAGGGTCTTTGTGGAGGTAATGAGGGTAAGGATCTCAAGATGAGATCATCATGGATAGCACAGGTGATCCAATGACTGCTGTCCTTAGAAGAGACAGAATGGAAGACATGGTCAGATGAAGAGGCCATGTAACCATGGAGGCAGAGAGTGGAGTGATGTGTCTACCAGCCAAGAGACACCAAGGGCCACCACCAGAAGCTGGGATGGTGGCCTGGAACTGACTCTCCCTCAGAGCCGCCAAAGAGAACCAACCCTGCCCACAGCTCGATTTCACACAGCTGGCCTCCAGAACTTGGAAACAATGAATCCCTGGTATTCTAAGCCACCAAGTTTGTGGTACTCTCTGACAGCAGCCAGGGGAAACCAACACATCCCCCCCAAAACTAAAAGTGCTCTTGAGAAAAACTGCAAGATTAGGATCAACATGCAGCACCCAGGGGTGGGGAACCCGACTGGGCCTCTGACGCTTCCCCCAAGTACCACCTGAGATTAGACACCTGGGCTTCAGGAATCGGAAAAGTCTCTCCCAGCCCTGCAGATGCCAAGGAACGCTCAAATCCAGGCTTATTTGCATAATGGGCTGCTGGCTGTCTACCTGCACTAGGCTTCCTCTCACTGCCAAGTAGCAGAAAAGCCCAGGGGTGGATTCCCAACATCCCATTCCTAGCCCAGGCAGCTTGGAAGAGGGCAGGGGCAAGAGCCAGGGCACCAAGGAGGAAATGATGCGTATTCTTCCTCTACTTCTAACGTCTTTTCTTTACAACATCACAGGGTTAATGCCTGTGGCTTTGACATCCCAGAAAATATTCACAATCTTGCAAAACAGCCAGGAAGAGTCCTCTGGTGCTCCTAATCTGCCAGTCATTGCCAAGTGGTTTCCTTTCACAAGGCCAGAGCATTGGGGGCTGGTGCAGGGCACAGCATCACAGACTTCTGGAATGTGATGAAACAGCCACCACCACTCACACTGGGCGGCAATGCTCCTGGGGAGGAGAAGGGCAGGCTGTGGCATTGGGGAAAAGAAAGCAGCAGCATACTTGTGAGAAGCATCCTCCCATCAGACCACTAGGTAGTCACAAGTCCACACCCAAAGCAGTGGAGGGAAGGTGGGGAAATGCGACTACACAAAGGTAGCCAACTCGAAGTCCAGAACATGCTAGTACAGTCACCGCAGGAAAAGATCGTCGCAACTTCCCTCACACAAAAGGGCTGATTTCACTACTGACCAAAGAGCTCCTGCAAAGCAAGGAACAAAAGACTACCTGCCCAAGAGGTAAGTGGGCAAAAATACAAACAAGCCATTCACGCCACAATTGAAAAGGCCCCCTGAAGCGCTGAGAGATGCTCAAGCCCACTCTTAACAGAGACCTGCATGCCTGGCAGATAGCAAGAGCCCACAGGTTGGACAACCCTCACCGGGGCAAGGCTGTGGGGAATGAGGGGACAGCAGGAAACCGCACTGGGGGGGCATCAGCACCATCTACCCTGTTTGCGGATGCTCAGTGCTGCCGCTTCTAAGAATCCAACCCAAAGACACACATGAGTGACGCACGTGGGTTTTCACTGCGGCATTACTTATGACAAGAAGATGGGCAATAAAGCCACATGCCGTGGTGCAGCCTCCCAGTGTCCCAAGAGCATGACGATGCCATGGTGTGCTGGAGCTGGGCTGGAAGGAAGGGCCCCTCCCTTCTCAGCCTGGGAAGCCGTTCTCTCTGAAGAGACCTGGCCCTGATTCCTGACTTCCCCAGTGGAGGTGGAAGAAGCGGGACCCCCAGAGGCAAGTAGTTCAAACACACAGAACGAATGAAAAGAGCACAGCACAAGGCCTAGCTGGGGCTCTGTGTACCCTAAAAGAGGCGAACCAGCAGACGGGGGAGCTGAAGCGTAAGGCCCTACAGCTAGCTCTTAGGGCTCAGATAAGTAGCCCGCTCTTTGTCACCTAGCCCGTAATCCAGGACTGGGCAGATGGGAGAGGAAAGCAGATCGCACTGTCCTAGGCTGGTCATCGGCAGGTGGCCCTACTCGATGCACTCCATAACGTGAATCTGCAGGGTGTCCATATCAGGAGCCTGGTACTGGCACTTGGGGCAACAGAAGTCAGGCGGCTCCTCGGGGGGGCTTCTCCTCTGGCTAGGCAGGGCCAGGTGAAAAGAGTGGTGAGCTGGGGAAAGAGAACAGGCTCTGGTTATGGCACCACCTGCAGGGAGGGGAGGGGACAGAAAGTAGCGAGACTCGAGACCATCAGATCCAACTACCAGGGTCAGCACTGCTAGTTCCTTCCCTCAGCCCCTGGTCGGGGGGAGGGGAGTACCAACGAGGGGATGCCAATGTGAGCTCCCATGGCCCAGGCTCCATTCACTCGGTGCCAGCACCCTGCCCTCCCCTGCCCCTCCTCCTGCAGCTCGCTCACCTGAGGCAGGGGCCAAGGGGGGTTGGGAGACCTCTACGTGCCGCTTCCTCATGTCTTCAATCCTTTGAAAAGAAAAACTATCCAATCAGTACATGGGAGCCAAGCTCCGGGAGGGCATACAAAGAAGGATGTAGGCGCCAGGAGGGGAGATGCAGGGCCAGCTCACCCTACCCTGACAAGTCAGGAGCACCTAGTGTCCTGCACGTACTCCTGGACCCCCCCAGCACCCAGCGCCCCTCCACGTGGGGCATGCGCTCCAAGGCCCACCTGGCTGACTCCTGACAGCTGGCCTTCAGCCTGCTATAGTCCCGCTGCAGCTGCTCCAGCTGTTCCTGCAGGAGCTCCTTCTTCTCGGCCAACTTCTCCCGGGCCTCCCTCTCAGCCTGGAAGTCCGTCTTGTAGATATCCGCCTGGCAAAGCCAAGAGAGGGAGACGTGCCCGCCACCCATCAGCCACTCATTGGATACTCCATGCCTAGCACCAGGGGGGCAAGGCAGAGCCCGTCCTGCCCTCCCACAGCCCATGGCACAGAGTCACCACAAGGGGACTGAGTGGTCAAGGAACAGTTGTGAGGGGCTCCAAGAGCTCCTGAGATGCCACTGCAAAATGACTCCAGAGTCAAGCCAGATCCCAGGCTAGAGGGCCTGGTCTGCTCAGCTGCACGCAAGCCACAGAGGAGAGCCCTCACCTGGGCCTTCAGCACCGGAACGGTCTCCATCACAATCTTGTGCTGCTCAGCCTCTTCCTTCAGCTTGTCAATCACTTCCTGTTTGGCCACCAGGGCCTCCTCGGCCTGCTGAAGTTGCTGCTTGAGATCTTCCAACTGCATTCCCTAGAGATGGGCAACAGGGAGCTGATGGAGCCCAAGCCCGCCCAGAGCAGGGGTCATGGCACCCCCAGGCCGGCTGCTGCTTCAGGCAAGCAGAACCAACAGGAACAAAAGATCAGCCCAAGCTGGGCCGTGCCGGGGCGATGCCAACCACAGGATGTCAGTGTGTGCAGGGCATAGGAAAGGTGGAGGCTGGACAGGACCTCTGAGGTCATCTGGCACACCACCCACCCAGATCGATATTCCTGTCCCAAAATCCCCAGCTGGACCACCCTCCTCCAGTTCTTCGAAGGACAGGGCCTCACTCCCTCCAGAGGCCGCCCACTCATGCTGAGCTGGTCTCCCGAACTAACCCTCCATCATGTGCCCATGAAGCCGAGACCCACTGATCCTTCTACTCTGCCACCTGGTCATAGGTCTGCTGGTCCCTCACAGATACCACACACACACACACACACACACACACACACACACACACAGATGCACTCAGACACATTACAAATACATAGGCACACACACAGATGCATACACAGACATTACACACACACACCACCACCACCACCACCAAGCCTTCCCTCTAGAGATCAAAGGGCCACAGTTTTGTGATTAACTCTTCCTGTGTAACCCAGTTTCAGGCTTTACTCTTAGAAGTCACCTCTAGATACCTTCATGTTTGACAACATCCTTCTTAAAATGTGAGCACTAGAAACTGAACCCACTACAGACAGGTCTGATGAGGATGAACTAGAAAAGGGCTCTCAGCCGATTTCAACACTGGGATGGAAAGGTTCCTGGGGAAATCCGAGCCAGGAGCCGAAGTGGTTGGTGATGGCTGGCCAGAGGAGCCAGCCTGTGGAGGGGGCATCCAGAGGCCCAGCCCAGTCCACCATAGGCAGCAAGCAACAGCCCAAGTATCCCTATCTGCCTGCCCTAAGCCATCACACTGCAGCCTTAATGAAACTCTAGGACAAGTTAAGTCTCCCTTCCAAAAGCCAATTCTGTCTAATCTTTACGTAGGGCGTTGAATTCCAATGTCCCCGAATTTGGGAGAGCAGGCCCCATGGGAGAGGAACCAAGGCAGTCCCGTAGGCAGTCCCGGGGACCTCCCCGCCATACTCACTCGGTTTCGCTCACTGCTCACCATACTGCTCTTGATGTGATTGTCATACTCTTGGAAGAGCTGGTGATAGGCCACCTGTAGCTGGGCCAGCTTCCGCCTAAGAAAAAGGAGCTTTTGCTGGGGACACCACCTTGTCCTGGACCAGCCACAACTTGTCCTGCATCCAACTCCTCTCTCTTCCTTTTTGTCACATCCACCCAACTGAATGGGGCTTTCAGGGAGCATTTGTGCCTTGAAGGACATCAGCTCCGAGGCACGCTTGGCTAACTAGGTAAGTATTGCTTTCCTTTGTTTTGTTTTGTTTTTTTTTTGTTTTTTAGCTGAGCCATCCTGCTACCTGTTGGCAGCTCAGCGGCTGCTCAGCTCGGGCTGGACTCGAACCACTGTTGCTCAGAGCTCAAACTCTTGAGCGAGCTCTTAACCAACTGAGCCACTCGGCCGGCCTCCGTATTGCTTTCCTTAAAGCTAACATTGTTTTGAATATGAAAAGAAATGTTTGTAATAAAATGTAACTGCCCTGCACTCTTCAAAAAAGTCAACTTCATGGAAAACAGAGTGGCAGGACCATTCTAGGTTCATGGAGACGCAAAAGACACACCAACAAAAGGAAGGCAAGATCCTGGGCTGGGTGCTATTAACACGGGGGCCTGACGGGGGAGTCTGAACGTGGACTGGAGAAGGGAGCAAGTGATACTATCAAAGATGGATCACCTGGGGCTGCCATTGGTAAGGGACCAAACCCGGCCCTCGGCCACTGCCAATCCCGAACAGGGCTCTTCCGAAGACAGAAAGCTGGTGACGACCCTCTGGTCCTGCCCATCCCAAGCCTGCACCCACTCACTTCTCCTCCGAGGCAGCCTGGCGTTCCATGCGCAGGGCAGCCTCCATGCTCTGGGTCTGCATGCGCAGCTGGTCCACCTGCACGTTGTGCTGTTGCTGCAGCGCCTCCCGCTCGCTCTCCAGCTGCCGGGCCTGCTCACTGGCTGCCCGGGCCCTGGCACAGGGAAGGGGGAGGTCACGGTCAGGAGCACAGGAGCACGGTGCTCACAGGATCCCTGCTGTGCTGACAAGGACTGCCGGCAGAAGGTGGAAGCCCAGAGAGCACTAGAAGACCTACAGTCTGCAGGGAGGAGATGAGCTCTGGGAACAGGGCGCAGTAGGGGGCATGCTTTAGCACAGCCTGTCAATGCAGAGCCCACACAGGGAGGAAGGGGGCAGTTCCATCACTGGAGACAGGGACAACTGCATGGTGACAGGTTGGAGCGACATGTTTATGTCAATGCAGGGGCCAGGCAGACAACCATGTGCCGGGTGGCCAGGAGACCTGGGACTTGGTTTCTGGCCCATGACACCTGCTCCGGAAACCCCTTCAAAGGTGAAGGTGGCGATCTCAGAAGAGAGCACTACTGGAGCCAGGGGACAGGGATCCCCAGGAACCGCCCATTGGGTTCCCACCAGTGAGTGCTGTCCTCCTCCCCCGCCAGAGAAATCTCAGTGGAGGTATCAGGAGAGACTGGGAGGAGAAGAAATAGAGGCAGCCAGCAAAGATAAGCCTTTCCAGAAGGTGTGGGGGGAGTAAGGTGACAGGTGGGGTGGGGCAACTAGAAGGGGAAGCAGGGTCAGTGTGCTCAGGCAACTTCCCCTCCCAGGCACTGTTCTAGAAGTGGCAAGGCGATGGCAGCCCACCTCCATGTCTCATCTGGAGTCCCAAATGTTCATACCTGTAAGGAGAGCCTCCCACCTGCCTGCCTGGGAGACAGCAATGGTCTTGGCAGAGAATCCCTCTTTCTCTCTACGCTCCTGCTGTAACAGCTCATCTCTTCTCCCCTGGATCCCCCCACAGCCCATCTTCTGATCCCGGCCCTGTATTGCCCCCGGGGCCCCAGTCTCCCATCTCCACACAGCTCCCTATATCTCCAGTTCCAGGCTCCAGCCATGTCATCCTGTCCCGAGGCCTTCCCTGGTGCCCACTGCGAGGGCAACGGTGGGTGTTTCTGAGTGGGGGGGAGGTTCCAGGGGGTTTTCACTGGTCTGTTTCTCTACATCTGCCCAATCTATTGAACATGCATTTCCATCTGTGATCAGACCAAAGGTAGGCACAGTCATAGTCATTACCAGGTGGAACTGCTGCCTGCCAGGGACCCTGGCACAAGAGGAGGGGCTCAGAGGGCAGCCATGTGTATGAAGTTTAAAGCTGTTTAGATGGCCACACCAAATGACCTGAGATGCAAGCAAGGCTTCGTGCCCTGAGCTGTCCAGCTCAGCATTTCTATGCTTGACCACAATGGAGAGGAACAGGAAAAGAGCTGTCCCAGGGCCTACAGTTACCAGAGTAAACACCCCTGCAGCGTGGTTCACTGACCCCAGTCAGCTGCCAGACTGCACTGACAGCATAATGCCTCCAGCAGCTTCTTTTTATGTGCACAGAAAACAGACAGGCAGGAAAGACACCAAACTGTCCCAAAAATAACACATGTGGTTTTAGAAACCTGGAGATACAGAAGAGCATATAGGGGAGGACACGAGAATGTGACGATCCAGAGGCAACGAGGCTCAGCCTTCCGACCAATGCCTTTCATCTTGTGTGATTTCTAGATGGAAGCGTGTTCAGTCTCCCACATTGCTCTGATAATGGGAGGGGAAAACTCCTGCCTGCTTCTCTGGTCTCCCTCAGGAAGGCGTCCCTGACAGCGCCCAATGTACCCTGATCACCTGCGCTGGGAGAGCAGGGGCCACTCGTGGCAGCTGGACCTGTCTTTCTGGATGGCAGCAGCTGGACAGCACAGGAACCCCACAAATACCCGTGCCCTCTAACCCAATGACGCCACTTACAGGAACCCCCTTTGCAGAAAAGAGCGATTGGCAGGCCTGAGGCAGCCAGCTTCGGAAGGGCCACTTGCAGGGTTGGCCCTCAGGTAGCACCGGGCAGTTTCTGTGGAGCTCCTGCTTTCTTCTGGGAGGTGGGAAATTTGGTGTGTGCCTGGCACAGGGGGCCCACCGTGACCAGCCCCCAATAAAAGCTGGGGTGCACTGGGTGCCGAATGGGTTCCCTGGGTGTGCAGTGGTGCATTTTTCACTGCTGAAGAGGGGAGAGTGCTCTGCGGTCCCCTCAAAGGAGGGAGGGAGGGAGAGATGGAAGCTAAGGCCTGGGGTTCTCCACCCCTGACCTGTGTCCTCTGTCCTCGCGGGTCCTGGTGTGTGCCCTGTCCCTGTATTCAACCTCAGCCCTGAGGGCAGTGGGAGTGCTTCCAGAGACTCACTGTGGACCACGGGCGTGCTCTTGCCCCTCACAAATACTCCCCAAGGAAATAATCCGAACTCTAGCAAAAGGTCAGAGAGCCCAGAAGTGCTGCTCCAACCCAGGTCCCAGACGCCTGGCCCAAAGCTCCTCCAAACACCTGTCCCAAGGCCCCGTGTGTCACACACTGCATCCTCCAGTCCATCCTCACAGAGGAACCCCTGGAGGCTCCTAAACAGCCTCATTTTCTCAGGCATCGTGACAGTGGCCTCCAGGGTGGGCATTCCCCCGCCACTCACCTGCCCTCCAAAGCCTGCCGCTCCTTGGTGGCAGCCTCCAAGCGACTCTGGCTTTCCTGGAGCTCCCCTAGCAAGGACGTCACCTGGGCTTTCACTGAGGCCTTGTCCTCGGCCATCTGCTGCTTGAAAAAAAGCCACTTCCTGTCAGCAATGCTTTCTCACCAGCTGCTCACCCCCGGTGACCCCCAACCCTGGGGCACCCTGCAAGTGCTGAGACGTGTCAGCTTAAAGGCTGCTCTCCTGCTCCTGGCACCCCTATTCACCTCACCTCCAGAAGTTTCCCGACCCCAGCAAGGCAAGTAAGGCAGTGGAAAGGGATCGAGTCCCATGAGCCCATACTCCCAAGCCCCTCCTCATCTCTGCAGACAGGGCACGATAAAACCCGGGGACACAAGAGCACAGAGTGGCCTCAAGTCTCATTAGGCTGACGGCCAGGCCGTGAGGGTGAGCCCTGCAGGACTTTCAGCCTCTCTGACACTAGATGCCAAGGGATGCGACATGAAGAGACAGCGACAAAAGTACATGCTCCGTTCCACAGGCCCTGGGCCACTACAAGGTGAGATGGACTGCCACTGTTTCTAGAAGACCTCCACCACGGGCAACATTCAAGAGTTGTCCAAATCTGCACTGCCTGGTCTCCAGCCTCAAACCATATGGACTCAGGTTCCCCCTGACCTCGGGCTGCTCCAGCCCAAGGTTGAGACTCAGTTCCCTGAATCCCCGACCCCTTGGCAGTAACCCCTCCACAGTAACCACCACTTGTGACGGAGCTCTAGGGGACCCCCGACCACAGGTTCCCTCTCGTAGCACTGACATCCCTGTGGGGTTTCAGGGCACAGGTGGCTAGTGGCACAGGTGGCTAGTGGCACAGGTGGCCAGACCCCGCAGCTCACCTGCTGCTGGGAAAGGGCCTTCCCCGCCCCCTTGCCTACCTGCTGGCATCTCTTCAGGTGCTCCACCTCCTGCAGGGCCTGCTCCCTCTGCCTCCTCAGGTCGAGCTTCTCCAGACTCAGTCTCTCTACCAGTCTCCTGGCCTCCTGGAACCTCTGCATGAGGAATTCCTTCTCCTCCCTCTGGCTGCCTTGGAAACGCTGCAGCTCCTCACAGCACTCCCGCAGCATCTGGTTGCTCTGCCGGATGGCATCTGGCAGAAGACACAGCAGAGGGGACATGAGCCCTGGCCGCCAGCCTGCCAGCTCCTCCTTGGGCCCGCCACAGTGCTCTCCCATAATACCATGCAGCCTCTCACGCAGCGAGGTGGCTTTGCATTACTCACTTTTATGTCGTGAAACACTTCAAAATCAGTGATGCTAATCACAGGCCCGACATTTCTCCAACAAAATACTGAACACATCAGCGTCACTTAAAGCTCACGTACAACTCCTTTTTTTGGTTGAGCTAAAATTCATATAACATCAAATTCATTGTTTTAACTATTTTGCAGTACAGTTGACCCTTGACCAACATGGGTTTGAACTGCTCAGGTCCACTTACACGTGGATTTTTTTCAATAAATGTACAGTAGGCCCTGGGTTTTGCATCGTAGATACAACCACCCTCAGACTGAAAATGATATTTTTGATCCATGGTTGGGAATCTGAGGATGCAGAGGGCAGACTGTATGCGTTGTTCTGTCATTTTATATGAGAGACGAGCATCCGCAGATTTTAACATGAGGGTGGGAGGAGTCCTGGACTCAATTACCGCGGATATCGAGGGAAGACTGTAGTTCAAGATTTGGTGAGTCAAGTTATTCACAGATTTTCAACTGCATGGTGGTGGGCAGGGGGTCAGCACCCCTAACCCCTGTGTTGTTCAAGGGTTAACTGTATATAGTCATTCAGCACTTTTAATGCAATCACAAAGCTGTGTACCCATCACCTCAATCTAGTTCCAGAACATTGCCATCACCCCCAAAAGAAACCCCATACCCACTGGCAGTCACTCCCCCACTGTCCCCAGCCCCTGGCCACCATTCATCTGTTTCTCTCTCTGGACTCTCCTCTCCTACACATGTCACATAAAAGGACTCCTACACTCAGTACATGCAACTTCTTCCATAGATCCCCCCAAACTATTCCAAGCAAAGTCTATGTCCCCCCCTTCCACTCCCTCCTCCATAGATACAATCATGAGCATCGAGGGGAGCAGACACCTTCAGGACCCCAGGGGTTTGGCCCAGGGCCTCACATACAGCACTTGTTTAGCAGAAATGTGTGAAGCCAACCTGTTGCAGGAGTGCAGGTCAGGCAGTAGAGGTGGAAGCCATGTGGCCTCGAGGACCCTACTTGCCACTGGAGCCTGAGCTCCCGGGGCCAGGGGTGGGGAACTAGGGGTACTCTGTTCCCTGCACTGATGGCCTGCCACTCCCTCACCCCCATCCCCCTTGCCAGAGTGCTCTCCTGGGAATGAGCAGACGGCATACACATGGCTGTGGAGGGTGAGCTGTCTCCCTACCCCCAACTAGGCTGCCAGCTCCATGTGGCCCCAACACAGCCAGATACTTGACAACCTCTGGAGTCACTGCTGGTAGTCATAACAGGAGGGGTGCTGCTGGCGTCTGGTGGATAGAGGCCCGAGATGCTGCTTCATACCCTGCAGTGCTCAGGACAGCCCCTACATGTCTGAGTGCTGGGGTGGAAGACTCTGCCCTAGAGGCGGGCAGGTCTTGTCAGCTCTGAGTGCTCGAAGCAGGGCTGTCTCCAAAGCAGGTGAGGCCCCCAGGACACCACACCGCCCCTCGGGGGCAAGTTGGCTGCACTGGGCCCCTTCCATCCTGGAAGGGAAGTTGATTCAGCTTGACAGGAAGAAGAGACACACACTCCAGGCATGGGTTTGGTTCCTGACTGCAGGGCCTCAGCCAGCACCTCTCGGAGGTTTACAGAGCACGTGACTTGTCAGCACTGGGCCCCATTTAAAAGCCTGTCACACCAGGGGACACACTATCTAGCAAAGGAAGTGGGGGAGTGGCCTTGTGACTGTGGCCTCCACTAGTTGTGTCCCATGCCAACCCACCAGTCCACTAGGGTAGTGGACGGCTGAATGAAAACAACTAAGATGCTGGCTTGGGGGTCATTTCTGCAAGGACGAGGCTTTGTCCTCCAGGGTGTGGTGCACACGGGGACTGTGACCTTTCTAAGCCCTAAGTTCCCAACAGGCACCAAGGGATAAAGCAAATGGGGACGTGTGCCCCATCACTTCCCGGGACCCATCTGGGGAGTCTGTGCCACCCTTCCCTGTGGCTCTGGGCTCAGCAGTCTAGAAGGTCCCCATAGCAGAAACAGAGCTTCACTGAATTAGAAGCTAGGGGTGCCACCTGGGCACCCAGGGCCATTCGTACATACAAAGGACAAGCGGGCCAAAACTGGAGCCCCCCTCCCACCCCCCACCTCCACCCCCCTGCATGATCACAAGGGTGGGGCACCGTCACATGGCAGGGAGGGACAGGCATGAGTGTGCCACACCCAAGGGCAGCTATGCCACCTGAGGGGCACAGTGCAACAGCCACTGGGACCTGGAGAAGCTGCCCCAGATACAGGTGAGGACATGGAGGGTGGGTGAGTGGGGGCTGTGATGGAGAAAGGGATGGGATGGCCAGGAAAGAACTGGACCCCCAGCCACCAGGAGGGGAAGGGGCTGCTGGAGGGTGGCCTTCAGCTGAGGTCTCTTCACCGACCCTGGCCTAGGGCCAAAACCCAAGGACCCCTCCCTTTCCCAAAGCAGCCCGTGGGCCTTCCCCAGAGCAGGCCACACCCCCTCCCCAGAAGACCCATGCTATGCCCCTTCCCAGGCTGGCCAGCACTTGACTCATCAGTGCAGACATATGAAGGCCTGGCCATGTTGGCCAAACTTGGGACAACTTAGAGTGTCATTCCAGCTCCAGAGCTCCCCGTAGGGTCGGCCTGCACTGCAGGCCAGCTTCTCCCTCTAACCACCCCTGCTTTCTCCCTGTCCTTCCCTCCCCTACCCTCCCCCAGTGTTGGTCCTCAGAGCACTGTGAATAAACTTCCTACAAATTAATCTCCATCTCACAATGTGCTTCAGGGAAACCCCACCTGAAACAAAGAGGGAGGGTAGGTGAGCTTCAATCACTAGCTGGCTCTCGGATGTACACCCACACCCAGACCCAGTAAACACTTAGGCATAGGTGAGTAAGATAAGCCTTCCCCCAGCAGGGCTGGGTCCCCTGATTTCTTACCCCACACACCCATTGTCCTCCTTACCTCGGAGCTCTTGATTCTCCTCTAGACAGCGCTGGAAGGTCTCAGGAGCACCCTGCTCCGAAGGCAGGTGGAGCATGGCCGCCTTCCCCAGAGAAGGCTCTTCGCCCAGCACGTCCTGGTCCCCGGCCGGGCCACCGCTGGGCTGCACCATCTCACACGGCTGACTCTTCCAGGGGGGCCCGCTCATCCAACAAGTCAAGGTCTGGGAGAGAAAGGCAACACAGGCATCACACGAGACCTGTGCAGAATTCGTTTACTTGCAGGACAACAGGGGTAGTGTGAGCAGCAATTCTGGGGCCAAGCTTTACACAGAATGCTAAGCACTTTGTCGAGTGTAATAGTATGCTAAAATGGGCTTTTTGGTCTACAAAGTGACACATACTCCCATTCCAAAGGGAGGTGCAGGCCCACATGTGGGACTTGGAAAGGCCATGGTTCAGCACCAGTTATAAACCCTGCCTAGCAACTATCTCCGGGCTGTAAACTGAAGTTAAGAATTTTGCCAAGGGGGAAAATTAGAGAGAGGATTATTTTTGGAGGGAGGTGTCAGTGCGCTGGCTATCCTACCCCACACACACACCTGCAAGCAGGAGTGGAGGGTGTTGGCCCCTCACCTAGTGTAGTGGGTTGAATGGTGGCCCCCCAACAAGATATGTCCATGTCCTGACCCCAAGAACCTAGGAATGTCACCTTATTTGGAAAAGTGGTCTTTGCAGATATAATTAGGTGAAAGATCTTTAGAGATCTTCTGGAGTAGGACGAGACCTAAATCCAATGACAGTGTCCTTACAAGAGATAAAAGAGCAGAGACACAGACAGAGGAGAAGGCATATGAAGGTGGAGACAGAGACTGGAGTGATGTGGCCACAGTCCAAGGAATGCCGAGAGCCACCAGAAGCTGGAAGAGGCAGGAAGGACCCTCCTGTACAGATTCTGGAGGGAGCATGGCCCTGCCCACACTTGATTTCATACTTACAGCCTCCAGAACTGGGAAAGAATAAATCTCTTGCAGCAGCCGTAGAAAATTAATGCACCTACTAAGAGGGGCTTCAAGGAGACCACTCAGAAATTGATGAATGTTCCCTGGAACTGAGGGGCCAAAAGGGACATCTAGTATGTGACTTTTTGCTTTAGAATCTGCAAGTGGGAGCTTGGCTGACAGCCTAAGACAGCGGGGCAGAGACACAAACTGAGCTGTCCCCATTCTCTTGTGAACCAGAGGAGAGGTAGGCCATGCCTGGAGCCCTCTTTAATCCTGCCCAAGAAGACTTGCTACCTGGAGTAGGAGGCCAATCTCAATACAGGTTTTGAGGCCTGAGCTGAGGGAGGCTTTAACACCAGATAAACTTGGACGTTTGACTATCACACTGAACACACCACTAACTCATCAGCAGCATCTGACCAACCACGGGTTCCTCCCTAAGCTTCCAAGACATCCCACTCTCCTGGTTTTCCTCCGACCTCACTGGAAACCTCCTCAGTAACCCAGCCTTTCATGTTGTGGTGCCCCAGGGCTCTGTTCTAGGCTCTCTTCTCTTCTCTGTCTAGTCCCTCCAGTACTAAGTCCATCCAGCCTCATGGCTTTAACCCCCACCCTAATGCTGATGATGCCCCAAATTAGACCTCTTTGCTAAACTCCACACTTACGTATCCAAGTCAACATCTCCACTTGGAATCTAGGAATACTCTCAAAACTAATCTCTCTAAAGCTGCACTCCTGACAGTCACCAAAAGCCAGTTCCCACAGCCTTCTTTCTTGTCAGTTGAGGCAAATCCATCCTCCAGTTATCAGGACAAATACCTTGGAGTCCGTCTTGACTCCTGTCTCACAGTTCACATCTAATCCATCAGGAAATTCTATCAAAATGTATCCCAGAATCAATTTGATGGCGCTAAGCAATTAATGTTAACTATTTTAGGTGTGATAGTAGTATTGTAGCTATGTTTTTTTCAGTCCTTTCTTATAGATACATACTGAAATATTTACAGATGATGTCTGAAATTCACTTCAAAATAAGGGGGGAACTCCTAGGTATATACCCAAAAGAAATGAAAATACCTGTCTATACACAAAAGCTCATAGCAACTTTACTCATAACAGCTAAAGAGTTGAAACAACCCAAATGTCCACCAACTGATGAATAAACAAAATGTGGTACACTCACACGCTACAAAATGGATGAATCCTGCAAACATTATGTTAAGAAAAAGAAACAACTCACAAAAGACCACATAGTGTATGATTCCATTTATATGAAAGGTCCAGAATAGGCAAATATAGAGACAGAAGGATTCGTGAATGTGGATGCTTAGAGGTGGGGAAAATGGGGTGATGGGGGTGATAGCTAAAGGGTACAGGGGTTCTTTCTGGAGTGATAAAAATGTTCTGGAATTAGTGGTTATGGTTGTACAACTCTGTGAATATATTAAAAACCAGTTGAACTGTACACTTTAAATGGGTGAACTGTGTATGTGAATTATATCTCAATAAAGCTGTTATTAAAAAGAGTAACAGGAGAGGATTGTAAGAGGTATAAATTAAACAAAATTGGCCACAAGTTGATAATTTTTGAAGCTGGGAGGTGGGTACATGGAATTTCCTACACGATTCTTCCTACTTTTTTTTGTACATCTTTGTAATTTTTCATAATAAAATGCTCAAAGCACCATCGTCTCTCACTTGGATTACTGAAATAATCTCCAAACAGGTCACCCCTGTTCCTACCCTTGCCCCTTACAGTCTGTTCTCCCCACCTCGGCCAGAGCAATCGGCCTAAAAGGTAATTCCAATCACGTTCCTCCTCTAATCAGATCTCTACCATGGCTCCTCACTGCCCTCCGTGTAAAAGCCCAAGTGCCTACAACGGCCGACAAGACCCTGTACTATCTGATCCCCTACTGCTGCTTCTCCAAGTACCTCACTCACTCTGCTCCAGCTATAATGGCTTCCTTGCTGTTCTTCCAACATGCCAGGATGGCCCATTCATCCTCAAGTCACACAAACGGTATGAGGTCGGGTAGACATTAATCGTTTTTGAAAAGTGAGCAAACGGAGACACATGAGATAAGATACTTAGCTGCCAAACTCTATTTGAGGCCTTCTTTAACAATTAAACAACCTCAAATGCAATCAAGTTTGAACAGAAAATGTCTCCGAACTATAAGAGTCATCCACGAACTATGGGTGTGGTCAGACTCCGTGGCAGCGGAGGAGGGACAGGCGAAAATAGTCCCGCTCTCCTCCAAAGTAACCTGGGTCCTGCATCGGCCCGCCTGGGCCAGTACTCTAACAGCGGGTGGCAGAAATGGACCGGGGCCCAACAGGAGGGGCAAGCCTGGACGTCCGGGGAAAATCTAGGAGGCGGCGGAGCGCCCACCGATGGCACCCTGCCTTCGGGGAAGAGCACCACACCTTTCAGCAGAATCGGTCCGATGTGAGAAGGGCGGGAGCAGCGGGCCACGAGCGCTCCTCGGGCCCCGTCGCTCCGAGAAAGTCCCAGTTCCGCGGTCGCTCTTCCCGTCTCTCCACAGAAATTCACTTCCGGCTTCCGTTGTCGTAACTGTGGGATCCGGAAGTAAAATATGCAAGCCCCGCCCCTCCTAGGAGGCCAGAAGAAATGTGAGGGAGGCTGTTCCAGAGGGAAGCCTGAGCCTGCCAGCCTCCGCCGGCCCGCTGGACGCTCCCCAGTGATATGCCCCACCCGCTACTTTCGGGGGCATCAAACCCACACTCCCCCTTCTATCTCGGGCGGTGGCATCCTGCCTCTGGGCTCTCGGGCGCTGCTAGGGGAGGAGCCACGACGAGGCTACCTAGTAGGGCAGGTTTGACCCAAGCAGTCTACCGTTCCGGGGCGGGGGCGGGGCTGAAGACGGTCCCGCCCACAAATGGGGGTCGAGGAGGCGTGACCACAGTGCCGGGGGAAGTGAGCCCTCCGCGAGGGCGCAGGGCCACCGGGGGCGGAGGAGGAAAATCAGAGTGTAGGGGCGGGGCAGGCCCGGCTATGGAGACGCGGCCGAACGGCGCAGAGCTGCACGCGGACCCGCGAGGCATCGGGGACGCGACACAGCGGCGGCGGGAACAGCAGGCTGCCCGCGGCCCAGCGGCCGGCGCAGGTGCCCAAGGGGTGGGGCGGGCCAAGGGAGGGGCCCTCGTGTGGGAGGCCAATCTGAGATGCGCGCGCACCTGCCCTGCCCTCGCGAGGGAGGGGCCCATGGAGGCCCTGCCCGCGCGCCTCGCCTGAGGCGGTCAGCTCAGCTCAGGCGCCCGCCCCCGCTGGTTAAATGGACCCGCGGGTCGCAGCCCCCGGAAACGGCCAGGAGCTCCGGGGCTGAGAGATCAACGGGCTACGGCGGAGGCGAAACTCAGGTAACAAAGTGGGCGGGCACCACGCCGGCGTTGGGGCATGCTGCGCCGCGAGGCCTTTCGATTTGCCATGCTAGGGAGCCAGGCAAAATCAAAGTGTCTTAACGCATTCCATTGGACCCCTAAGAAGACTGAGATCCTGAGAGGGGCAGGGACTTGCCAGGATGTCACAGCTTGGTAGGAGAAGGGCTGGAGCTGCAGAGTCTTAACATGATCCAGCTTGTTGTGGGGTTTCCTCCTGATTTCAGGGTTAGATGAACTTAGCATCGTGCGATGCTTCCTCAGGGTTTTACTCAGTCCCTCAGAATTGAGGCCCTCGTTGGAATCCACTAGTGCTTAGGGTAATTTTGTAATGTACACAGTGAAAGAAGGCTGCCTGGGGAGTATGGCCAGAACCCAGAGCCAACAGTTTCTAACGCCCCAACAATCCCCCGATGCACAGCCAGTGGTTTCAAGTAATCCAACTTCAGCTGGGTGAGAGCCCAAAAGACCCCTGAAGAAAGGGACCGACTTCTCAGAGCTCTTCTGTTTTCATGCCTTGTCAACAAGTCTTTCTTTCACCAGAGAGCATCATGGCACAGCAGGTGGCCCTGAGCCGGACCCAAGTGTGTGGGATCCTGCGGGAAGAGCTGTACCAGGGTGACGCCTTCCATCAGTCCGATACACATATCTTCATCATCATGGGTGCATCGGTGAGTCTCCCCAGGCCCCGCATCTTAAAAGCCAAATTTGGCGTGTGAGTGACATTGCTTAAGGTCCCTTCCTGCCGGGTGCCTGAGCTTTCCCAACTCATTGCCGTGGGGCCACACAGGCTCTGCTCAGTTGGCTCGCCCTCTTACTCCTGCCCGTGTGCCATTATCACCCCAGCACCACTTGGTATACACACACTGTGAGGCATTTTTGAAATCTGCATAGATGTTGAATGTAGACCCATGTCCTGGAGCTGGAAGGTCCTTAGGGACAGTCTGCTTGGACTTCTTCCTCCATGGGGAAAACGGAGATGCAAACAAGGGAGGCTATTCATTCTGTGTGTATCTTTTTCAAACCTGTTTGTGACTTGACAAATGTCACACAGTCAATTAGTTCCAGAGGTAGGATCTGAGGCCCAATCTCCACCTTGTCACTCTACCACGTCAGGTTCCCTGGGGACAAACACTCAACCTTTCTTTGAACACTGTCCCTTTGCACCAACTTCCAAGGCCTGCTGCGGAGCTGTGACCTGCCCCATTGTCTAGCCAGTGGCACTGCCATTTTGCTCTGATAGGAAAGGCCATGGCCGCCACACTAAAGCCCCCTCCCAGTGTACCATGTGGAAATGAGGTCTCTGCCAGTCGGCAAGATGTGTACAGGGGCTGGTGAGATGAGTTGCCAGGGCTTCATCTCAAAGTAAAAGCAGCCCCCTCTTTTCACTTTTAACTCTGAACATGACCAAGAATCTGCTAAGCATCGCATGATCATTTTCACCCGTAACTTAACTATATAATCTGGAGCAAGCGTTCTTCCCAAACTAGTTAGCTCTTGACAGGGTAGGCATTGTCTCTCTGTGCCTTCCACGTCATGGTCCCCTCACTCTGGAGGAACTTGGTTCTTTGTTCATGTATCAACGTTCCACTGTCCTTTGCAGAGGCTGCTCCCTGCCAACTTTGGGATTCTGATTAGAACTTGGAAAAGGAAAGCCAGAAGCCAGGGCGGGAGGCAGAATAGGGGAGAAAGGCTCCGCCGGTGGGAGGGAAGGGAGGGCCACAATAAGCACTGTGCTCTCACTCCCCGTAAGCCCATGGCTGGGGTGCACACAGGAGGAGTACACAGGGGCAGGTGTGACCTCCACCTTGGCCCCAGCCTGGTCCCCTTAGAGAAGCCATACCTGTGTTTGCCACAAACCTTAACACCGAGGACTCTGACCATTAGGCCCTTTGTCCAAGAAATAATTTGGAGGAGAAAGTAACTCAGGGTTAGTCCTCTTCCTTCCCTCCAGTCACAGGATGCTCCAACAGAGCGCCCCAGGCCACAATAAATGGCTTTAATACTCCAGACCCTCAACTCTCAGGCCTTTCACTGAGATCATCCAAGCTTGCTGTGTGACCTGGGGCAAGTGTCTTCCCCTCTCTGAACATCAGTGTTTCCATCTAGCAAATGGGGGCTTTGGAAACAAGTGCCAAGGGTCCTTGGGCTCTGCCGAGCTGATTCTGTGGCTCCTCATTGCCTTCATCTGTAACCAGCTTGGGGTTGGGCAACTTTGTTTTTCTGCAATCTGTGGGGTTCCCCTTTGCTCTCCTCTTCTCTAGGAGCGACAGTCTTTCAGAACAGAAGCGGGAAATACCACTCCAGCAGGGCAGAGTAGAAGAGGATGGGGGCTGGGGGGAATCCTCCGAAGAAGAGCCTCCTTGTTTGTTTCTCCATCGTGCAGCTCAAGGGGGCTGGAGTGGGGTAGGCGGGCCTCCCATGCTCAGGCAGCACCTAGAACAGCTCCCAGAATCAGGCCTCCCATGCCTGCTCCCTCCATATAGAAGGTAGGTAGGGTGGGTGGTATTCTGGGAAACCAGTTAGTTTTCTGCTTATTCATCCATCAAGTGGCGATTGAGTACCTCCTGCAGTACAGTGACACAGGCCCTGCCCTCCTCATGGGACCTGTGTGCTGGGGGACTGGGACCCAAGGTGAGTTAGCAACCCAGTAAGATTTCAGAGTGGCGCATGTGACAGAAGACACAAACGGGCCCTTGTGTCCCCAGTCCCCCCTCCCCCCAGCACACAGATCTCCTGAGGAGGGCCTTCAGAGCAAGGCCTGCAGAGCCAGGGCCCAGGGAGCATTCTACACAAAGGAAAGAGCAGACACAGTGCCCAGTGGCTGATGGGCACCCCGGGACAGGCTGAGCCCATGTGGCCATCTTCTGCCCCTTCCTCCCTCACTCACTTAGCCAACCCTCTCCTGAATGCCCAGCTTCCTTCCTGGGGGCATCACAGTGCTGGTTCATGGAATTACCCAATACGCTTGGAGCCGCTCTCTGTTCCCCCCACTATGTAGCCACTTCCCCCCGTCTCAGGATTTCTACCCTCGAACAAAGAGGAAGTGGAGGTACTTACTGTCCCATTCCAGAAACTCTGGAATGAAAGCAGCCAGTTTGTCCTTACAGACTAGCGTGAGGGGAGGAACCTTGGGCCTGGTAGATCGTGTCCTCCCCCATCTGATAGGGCCTCGGCTAGGCTGGAGTGATTCTTTCCTCCAGGGAATGTAGAGAGAAATGGGGGTGAGAAAAAGAGAAAGAGATAGGACTGGGAGTCTGCCTGGGCAGCGTTGGCTCACTGCAGGGTCCTCAGCGAGCCCCTCACCTCTCGGGGCCTCAGTCTCTCCGCCTGGATCACAAGGGCCATGGGTTCAATGTGTGCTCAGGACCCATCCCAATGACAGGCCTGTGCAAGGAATGACCTGGCAGCCCTAGCCCCTCCCTCTCCTCAGGATCTTTCTGGGCTGCTTTCCCCCTTGGGCTGGTAAGATTCTTGCTGTGTCATGATGATGTTGGCACCGCCCCCCCAAGTCCTGGTGATTCATGGGCCCCACAGTGGAGGAGGGAGGCTCTTTTGCTGGTTTTACAGCCGAGCCTACCCCATTGCTCTCACTCCGGTGGCCAGGAGCCAGCTGGGCCCCAGCCAGTGCCCGAGCCCAGGCCCCACCCTAGGAGACCTGGCAAATCCCTGACCTGCCTGACCCTAAGGGGACAGGATGGCCCACCCCTGCAGGCCCTCCAACTGGCAGTCAGCCTCTGGAGCTCTCTGCCACGCCTAAAATTCTCAAAGACAGATATCGGCAGTGGTTTGGGCTTAAAAATGAGACCGAAGTCAAACCTGGACAGCAACAGGCAGGTGGAGGCCCAGGTTCCTTTGCCCCAGCCAGGCCACATCCTGGCGGCTGGAGATTCTAATCAGGTCCTGTTTCTCCAACTAAGTCACCGTGTCCCCAGGCAAAATGAGGGAGCTGGGAACGATTGCCACATCTCACAGGAGCCCCCGTTGTTGCCCTTTCCCCACACGTGGACTGCTTAGATTTGGTCAATGTCTTCTTACATTCCTTCCTGCATGGAGTCCAGCCCAGGCCAGCAGGTAGGGCAGGCTGTCCCCAGCCCAAGGAGAGCAGCTGCCAGACCCCAACCCCCCACTTCCTGGGTCCTACATCGCCTCTCCCTTGGGTGACTTGGAGC